GCACTGTCACGTGCCCATGTTCACCATCTATCTTTTTCACCCATAAACCTTGAAATATCCGTTGCCCAGACGAACTATCCGAAACTTGTACAACTTCGATCGAATACTTCGTTGAAATTATTGCAAATGCCTGTGTTAAACTCAGGCGCATGGATTCACTTTGATGTTTCCACCGGTAATCTAATATCGGACGAAGTGTGTTTGACCATTTTCATGGACTAATGCATCCAAGCATTCGATCCACTGAGAAGCTAATCACCGATCGTTACATCTGACCTAATATGCGCGCGGACGTCCGACAATAGGCTGATCACTATCTCAGCTGTCAGAGCAATAAAGTCCATGGACACCATGCCTGCCTCCGTAACTTTCCCATTCCCTAAAACGCGGTTTAGACATGTTCACTTAGACTTGGTTGAACCACTGCCTCCATCGAACGGTTTCAGTTTTGCTCTGACATGTGGATCGTTTTACTCGTTGGCCACGCGCGACTCCTTTACTTAACCCCTCTACTGCAACTGGCTCGTGCATTTTTCGTATCCTGTATTTCTCTTTTCGGTGTACCAGCTACGATCACCATTCATTCATTCATCATACACCTTGGCTAGATGTGGGGATACCCCACACATTACACCGCAATACGCAGGAAGAAAAAATAATGTGACAACACGGGCGCGCAAGCTGAGCCACCAGTAACCGATGAACATCGTTCCGGAGCGCTAGCAGTCGGTTTTTGTGCCGCAAAAACTTCTATTTTGCTTCAGAAATGAGATCGTATTTTGAGGAGGAGGCTAATCGGGTGAGAAGAGACAAAGAAACACATAACACAAACGCCAGATGTCGAATCCTAGCCATGTCAACTAATGTATCCAACCAAGCGTGTTCATCGTCTTTTTGGCCCCAACCAAGGAGCGGAGCGGCTCCAACTGCCGCCAATTTCGAACTAAGGGCTTTCATTCCTTTTGATCGTGTCGTCGGTTGGCCTCCTTTCCTCTTTTTCCATCCACACCTCCGGCGCGCAAACAATACACGCCGCGGGAGTCTGTATGTTGGCATACGCAACACATGGCCCTGCCATCGGAGCCTGGTTCGTGAAATCCCATCAACCAATTATTTACAGATTGATTCATGGTGTTGCGTTAGCAAGATACTGTCATGTATCTCAGGCCTATACAGTAGAACACTTAGGGTTCTCAACCAAATCCTTTGATCCAAAAACCTGACCGCAAAGCAGCGGCGTTTTGGCATTGGGCTATAGAGGGTGCATTTTACGGAGTAAGGAGCCACCCTCACTCCATCCCCCAACCTTGAAAGCCGCCGCGATCACCACCGATAGCGGATCTTAGCTTAACTCCTCCTTGTTCCGTAACTTACTATTAGGTTGTGCTCACATTCGGACAACCGCTTATTATCGCGCTGCAAATGGCTTTGTCAAACGTTTTCTTTAACTGATAAAAGCAACCATTGCACCGTTCACCTGACACGTTGGTCTGAACGCATTCCAACCGTCCTTGGTATCTGTAATATTGTCAAAGTGAAAATTGGATGTTGCCCTGATTAACTACCTTGACAATTCAGACTACCAGGTGAGATAATATTAGCTGCCCGAGTCACTGGAGTATCGGATCCTGTGCCTTAAACTGAACACCTTAAACGGTACTTGCGAGTCATTCAACATTTTTCTGCTTCCTGGTTCACTGCTCGCAAACAGCGAATTTGTCCAGATTTACACACTTGTCCGTTCGTTTTTACTCGCGTCGATGCAGTTTGAAAGCCTTTAACACCTCCCTATGAAGACCCATTCAAGGTGTTATCAGTGAAGCTAATTACTTCATTTTTGAGAATAATGGATCGAGGGGATCCGTGAGTGTCGATTGCCTTAAACTTGCTTATGCTGAGCCTGTTGTTAAACGTCCAGACAAAGTTACCGTGACTGGTTCTAGGTTGTTGCCCCCTGTTAGTCAACCGAGCGATGCTGATGCATCACAATCGTCATGCACTGGCTCAACGAACGATTATGAACACACGTGCTGACCGTTCTGTTTCTTTCCCCTCCATACTAGCTGCATTTGTTCCGTAAACAGCTTTATCGAGCGTTCCCCTACCAATTTACACTCTACGGTGGGACTTATGTAGTGGTTACTATTGCTTCACCTTTTCCTTTCTCATAATCTTTTATCACATCTTTTATACATTTTGTTTTAATTGCCGAAAAACATACTAGAATTCACTTCTTCGAAATCCATGCTCATGTCGTGCTGCTTTATGGATCTGTACGCTGCCTCAGCCTTCCTGAAGGCCGGTTTAACATAGGCAACAACAGTGCACCGGTACGCAGTACCGACGCACAAAATACCTTTTGATTCACTTTGTCAAAAGCAGCCACCTGGCCTTTTGATATGGTTCTATGTGCTTTTGGAAATGATGGTTATCTCGGACGCCGTATCAAACTGCAACTTTGAGGGAATCCCATAGATAACGAAACGTCTGCGGGGTTTGCAATCACACTGGAAGGCGGAAACAACTGTCAGGGAGTCTACAACGGTATTTTTGACCTACTTCTTGGAACGGAACGGTTTTTTTATTCACTGGTCGAGGCTGCTTGCACAATTCTTTCTTGTGGCTCCATTTATGACACTTTTGGCAGGTATGCTTCTTGAACGGGCATTCGGGAAAAATACCACTCACCGCACGACCAGCATGCAGTAGGTGGTCTTTTCTGTGACTTCTGAGCGGAACTGTCAGGCCTGTTTCGTTTTGAACTTATCACAACATGGATGTCGCGGTTGTGCGGGAGTATTCTCGACCATGGCAGTGTCATCCTTCAGAGGCATCAGTCATTTGCATACGGCCGTAAGGGATTTCAGCGCCGTGTCTGGGTCTTGATCCAGCTTTGAGAGTAGTCTTTTGCGAATCTCAGCATCATGCGGAGGCTGTAAGGCACCGATAAATATGAGACGCTTGAATTCGTCATCTGTCAAACAGCGCAGCTTGAAGCGTTCACACTCACGGTGGACCATGTGTACCAATACCCCATAAAAAGGACATCAACACTACGCCGGTACTGCGTACCGGCGCTTCGCTGCCGCGCAACCACCACCGGTCGCACGTTGGCTAAGGATACTGCGAGGGTCGCGCCCTGAGGTTATAAGGCAAACTCGTTACCTTTAGGCTATGGAGCGGCACATAGTCGTCTTTGTCCCGCTTGACGATTTTAAGACATTGATAGCGAATGCCTTATGATGACTCACCAAAAATTTCGCTGAGTTGTGACACTGCTTCGGAAAACCAGATCTTTCGGCTGTTTTAAGCGTATGTGATCAACGAATCTTGAATGTTCATTTGTGTCAAGTTTACGGAGCAGCATTCTCAATTTCCAGGAGTCGTTCTGACGGCTGAACTCCATTTTGGACATATCCTCCCAGCATCTGAACCACGCATCGGAAGTGCTTTCGGAATCAGGTTCATAATTGAATTCAGTGATGAGATCCTAGAGGCGATCCACCGAACTCACGTGTGTGTCTCGTGAAGCAGTTTCTGAAGACTGGATTCAGCTGCTGCATCAAGGTTTCGGTCAGCTTCATATGTGCCTGATGTTGCTATAGCAGCATCTGAAATAGTTTTTTTAGATAAATTCATTACATTGTCACTTTTCTTCTTCGCCAGTGAGAAACGTCAACATTATGAACTCTCCCTAGCCACACTCTCTAGAAAGACTCCTAAGACGCTCTCCTCTACCTCAAACTGGGCACCAGAGCGGGCAATGGTATCCCTTCCTGCTGTTCCTATGAGCATGAGGATCCAGTTCACGAAGATACCGACAAAATCATCCTCCTGGCGCGGCAATCTTCTTCAGTGTACTCGACAGCAGCGTCGTTCTCTGACAGTCCTGTGTGCACTCTCCCTTCTCTATTAGAGCACATCGATATTAACACTGACATCGTGTTGAATGTTCTCTGTGATTTGGATCCTTACCACCTGGTCCTGACGGCTTGCACCCCTTGTTCCTCAAGACTGTGGCCCAGTACATTGCCTCCCCTATCTCACAGGTCTTCTGTCTATCGTTTCAGTCCGGACTTCTTCCGACCGCTTGGAAGATGTGCATCATCAAGTCCATATGCAAAGGACAGAACCGACAAGATCCAGCTAGCTACCGGCCCATTTGATTTACATCGATGGTGTGCAGAATCATGGAACGGATCCTGGAACGGGCACTCTGCCTTCATCTTGAGAGGTTGGATCTGATATCCGGTGCCCAGCACGGTTTTCGCAAATGCAAGTTGCAGGACCAGCTACTGAAACGGAAACAAATAGTGTGAGATCGACGGATATTTATAAGTCAACCAAGTGAGGTCACCTATCAGAGAAACTAGGTCAGCTGTCCTGCTCCGAAGTAAGTCAGTCAAAAATTATTTGGTAGATTACTACAGTGACCGGCTCTTTTTAAGTATTCTTCTGTACCTATCCTTTGTAAGCTTCTTTTTCATAATTTATCCACTTCCAGTGTTTGTGTCGCAGCAGAATTTTCACCCTTTGTGGTACATACTGCACATTATTGACTTGATCCAATCGAATTTGTGATGTTACTATGGCACTTGCTCTAACTTGTCTCTGTTGGTGCGTCGCTCAGTCTAGTGTCACGTTCTCTAAAGGATCAAACTAACTAATTTTCTAAAAGCTAGAATAGATGACGAAGCAGTTTGTCCTAACTCGGCTCCCTTCGACCGCTCGACTGGGGAATATATCCATCTACAATAGAACCTTGTTACCTCATCTCCGAGTTTTATAGTCCAAATCTCTGCCACTTGAAGTTAACTTCAACGTAACTTCAATCACTTTTCTGAGAATCACAACTAGCTTGCCACCACTAGCGAAGATATAGATGATTGCGCATATTCAAGTCAATCTTATCATCTGAACTTAGTATTATTGTTGCTCTGTTTTTTCTTTAACTAGGCTCTCATCCTTTCACAGTTTCCATATTACCTTGTCGACGCCCAATGGGAGGAGGAATGTCTCTAATCGTTCCTGGATTGTATGTTGGCGGGTTGTTTGCTGCGAAGTCTCAGCTGCAGCTTGATACTAATAACATCACTCACTTGTGCTCTGTTATTCGACAAAAGTTTGAGGTTTGTCCTACCTTTATTCTAATGAGAAATCCAAGGTTCCAAACAGGAAACAAATTGTCTTTGAGGTAGATGATTCTCCTTCCGAAGATCTGTCTAAGCACTTTGAAAATGCTTGCTTCTTTATCCATGATGCTCGCGCTTCTGGCGGCCATGTGCTTGTTCATTGGTAGGTCCCCTACTTTGTGTATACATCATGCTAACAACCAACTGCTTGTTTGTGCTGCATAATTGAAATATCTATGCACTATCGACTCTTTACTGCCGAGGGACCACCAGCGGTCGCTTCCGGGCCACAGATGTTTCTAGGCCACCAGTAATCACGCAGACTCGAACCGGCCATCCATGAATTACAAGGCAGACGCCTTGACCACTTGGCTATAGACCAGCTCTGCTGTTACCTGCTCCCATCCAGTCGGACTGAGATTTATCTTGTGCGATTTCCCCCTAGCTGTGTGCTCACGAAATCGTAGGCAAATCATTTTGCCTTATTTATATTTGGCTACCATACAGCTAGGAATACTACAAATTACAGAGAGCACCAGAGTGAGTACAGTTATAGCCTTCGTCTTCTACCCTCTTGCCCTCTTCTGCTGAGGGATAAATATCTCTTTGTTACTGGCAGTGGCCATTATTTGCTACGTCCCATAGGATGGTCACGGTGAGGAAGTTTGGCAACAACGCGTAGTGTTCATCGGTGGGCTCATAGTAGCACAGTAGCTGAGGTGTTTCCCACCTCTAGCTGACGTGTATAATGATGATAATGATGATGCTGGACTCACCACTACATTCACAGTTTAACGAATCTGCCTATGCCTTCTGGAGAGAAGTAATGCGCATGCATTTTGTTTGCAGTACTTTTCAGTACGAGGAACACCGACGTTGTACGTAATGTAGTTGGGCTGGCGTCTCCTCGAGTTTTCTTCTGAACGCCGATAATGTGGGAGGGACATCTTTAGCGGAAGTAGTGAAACGAACGGCACCAATAGTACGTTAACACGCCCTATTCAACACTTGATTCACACAGAAAATGGCGCCGGCCCTACTTCGGCTAGCTACGCTGTGTAGCCGAATTCCGCTGCGGCCCTCCGATTGTCATTGAGGCCCTATGTGGTTAGGGTTTTGAGGGACCAAGCTACTGTTATGAGCTCAGTACGTAGGCGTGGATACCATCTAACTGTTCTGACTGTCGGAGTAAGACTGAGTGTCTGATTCATTTGCCTTGAGAGCATAGAAGCGAACGCCAATAAACACAAAATCGGGCGAAAACATGGAGGAAAACACATCGCTACCAATTGTATCACACCTTTGGCTAAATATGAACCCGGGGGCTGGAGTAATGTGAGCTTGTGAAGCATGCGACAGGAATAAATCTTTCACAACACCGAAACACAATATTCCTATTTCGGGAACGGGTTGTTGCGACACAAAATATGGTACCTTGTTATAAAATGGCATGCTTTCTGGACATCTCGATGTTCATTCTTGTACAAGAGATTTTCTGGCGCCAGCCAAGTTCACTTAATGGATATTTCGCCGCTGTGCGCTTCGTTTCATGATTATACACTAACACCTAGAGTTTTGAGGCTGAAGCTCTTATTATTTTTCGTTGCCTTTGTCTTGAGCGCATCGATATCGTGTTCCTTTAATGAATTACGCTCATTTTGCTTATCTTGCGTAAGTTTTAGAATAGACTTTATGTTTTGTTTTGTGTGATGGTCCGACAGGCTATCCTGATTCAGTACCCATGGGCACGCAGAAAGAAGAATTTGTGCAGAATGCTGTTCTCAAGTATATGTACATTGTTTGCCCAACTACAAAATATCGAATGCGTTCAATACGTCGCTACCAAGCTTATCCCCAGTTCACCGTGTTTACTGTACGATAACCGATGAAAGTGGCTCGGACCGTACGCTCTACTCGACCGTGGGTGCTTGTCGTTCTTATCATGACCTACCGTACGCAACATCTGGGTAACTTCTCCACTTTGAATTTACTACTCTACTTGCGAACACCTTGAAGCACACCCAAACACCAGTACCGGGTTAGGTGCCATATCCGAATCAAGTTCCTCACCTCACTGCTTCGAAGGGAGAGTGATCAGTGTTTGGAACAGCCCGCTAGAACACATAGCAGAGGTGAAATTGGTGTAGCAATTCAAAATTTTGCCGGATTTACGTTTCTCCACTATTGGATTCACATTTGTGACTCCCGTGTTGCTGAGTAATACACCTTACGATAGCACCCGTAATCTTGAAAACGGATTACAGTCTTGACTTCAGTCCGCGCGATGCTAATCTTCAGCAACACGAAGATTCCCATTTAATAGAATAAATCAAAGGGGGCAGCTTCTGAGTAAAGAATTCTTTTCCGTCACTCTCATCAGACTCAAACTTTACATGATGGCAATTATACGCTGAATGGGCCGGATAGGCGACGTATTGATCAGAATGTTTACTTCCATCGAAAGCGAATCAATAAATCACGCGGTCACTGAAGATGGCAGATTATGTACAAGGGGCAAATCACTTTCACAAACAAAGATTATCTTGGACACAAATCAAAGGAAGTTGTAGGCTACAGTAGAAGTAGACGACGTACAAGCTTAAAGCACTGAGTTCCCTTTATCATTCTAAATAAGACAAGGAGAAGACTGGTATTGTGAGATGGAACCATTTCGTGTTATCTGCTCACTCGCAAACTAACATCATACCGATGAAGCACATGACAGGAAAATCGAAGATTTGAAACTGGTCACAAAGGAAAATTACGTAGACGCAAGAATAACAGTTCAACCAGCTTGTTCTTAGGGTCATGAGCCACAAGGAAGCTTCAGAGAGACTGTTAATTGCTTTTATACACAAAGGATAGGGCGATACAGGTTAATTGCCACCGCTTAGGCAGATGGGTTTACGCAGCGGTTCCAGCTTCTCAACCATCCATTGAGCTATCAAATGTTGCGGAGGACTAACCATGCGTGATATGCGGCGCATTAAAACGCCTTCCTTGTGAAATTTTGCGAGGCCGTACAACCACGGTAGGTGTCCGCCTGAAGGTCTCAGCTTTTCGATGTCGCATTTTGTGATAACATTCACTTGCATCCTTCGTCGGACCAAATCAGTCAGTTGTTTTTCAAACTCTCCTGTATTATCCTTCATAACCGTTAGTTTTTGAAACTTACGTTCATCACTAAGGATATGTTGCATCTTACGGATGTAATCAGTCCTATCCATTGAAACTATACCAGAACATTTATCCGGCTTAGAGATAATTAACTCTTCGTTTAGCCATAACTCTCTAAGTGATTGCATTTGTTCCCTTGTAAGTATACCACTGCTGACTGGTCTAGCCTTAGTGTTATCATAACAGGTGCTAACTAAGCTGGACAACATATTCTCAACGTCCCATGGCGAATTTGGTGACAAGTCTCGTGCTTGCGCTACTAAGCTCTCAAACTGCACCTCTAATACGGCCTGGTCAACTTTTCTGCAAAGGATGCAAAACTTAGGGCATGATGATAAACCATTTAGTTGTGTTGAGCTAAGCACGTTAAACACGTACCGCTCCGGGTTACTCAGAAAAGTCGGTTGCTGTACTTCGTATTTAATGAGCCAAGAAACTTCTTTCTTTTCTGTGTACCCCTTTGCTTTCTAACTTGGTCTACGGGGAGATGTAGCGTCATATCGAATTGCCATGGAGTTGCCATGCGATCACCATTGGGACCTCTTCTAGCAGATATCTTAATGGCGAAGTTGGAGCCTAGATCACTATGACCACACATCAATGGAGCCGATATGTATATACGTTATGTGGACGACCCGTTTCTTCTCTGCAAATCGAAAATGCAGGCTAGGAGGCGCATCAGAATCTACATTTCACCTGTAAGCACGAGTCCGGAAACCATTTCTGGACGTTGCTGTCATCAGAAACATCGATGGATCGTGCAGCAGAACAGTGTATAGAAAACCGACTTTAACTGGACAGTACACCAATTTGTATGATGCGGTACCACTACAGTACAAACGAAATCTGGTCCGCACCCTTGCCTAACGGGCACACAGAATTTGCACACCGGATACCAAAGAATTGCAGAGAATCAGTGACGCTCAAAAAGCGCATGTGTATCCAGATAAATTCATCCTCAAACATTTGAAAGAACACAAGATACCACCACCGAGGAGAAACCTACCCAAGGAAAAACTTATTCCTTTCAAAGGCGAGAGTGCGGCTGATGCCCTTTCCAAACGCCCGAAAGACAATGTTGAAAAGACCTATTTCGCAGTTCATTTACGCATACTATACTACAACAAGCCTTTGCTCGTAAACCTTTGAAAGGTAGGCTAACTCTGTTTGCTCGATCAATGTTTATTTATCTCTACTCGTGTTTCTGTGGTGCACGATACGTGGGTCGTACAATGAGGCGCCTATCTCATAGGATTCGCGAATACATTCCGAAATGGTGTTAAAGATGCGAAGCGAGGTCTGGTAATAGCTCTATCTTGTTGCACCTCTTAAAGTGCGATCACGCAGGAACGGAAAATGATTTCAATGTCATACCTACTATTTCTGAGCGTTTCACGCGCGGATTCCGGAGGCATCTCTTGTCCACTGCGGAGGCTATATCCGCCACCTTAAACCAGAGTCATGCGTAGAAAAACAGTTTGTGCGTCGTCTACTTCTACTGTGGCTTACAACTTCCCTTGATTGGTGTCCAAGATAATCTTTGTTTGTGAAAGTGACTTGCCCCTTGTACATAATCTGCCATCTTTAGTGACCGCGTGATTTATTGACTCGCTTTTGATGGAAGTAAACATTCTGATCAATACGTCGCCTATCCGACACATTCAGCGTATAATTGCCATCATGTAAAGTTTGAGTCTGATGAGAGTGACTGAAAAGAATTCTTTACTCAGAATCTGCCCCCTTCTGTTCGTTCTTTTAATTGATTAGAGTATTGATAGGTCATATATTGTTTTCGGTTTTTGTGTTTCATCACCTTTTGGGTCGTACTGACTTAACTTTCTACTTGATCTATAGTGCAATATTCAGTATTCATTCAGTAATATTTATCCGTTTTAAACGAAAGCAGGTTTTTACTGCTACAGCTCTTTTTCGTTGGATGAACCCACTGACGTTCGCTTGTTGTCGTTCCCGGGAAACCTAACCGCC